TTATTATTTACATAAGGTTGCGTTATTAAGTTCAGATTCCTACCTGCCCTCATTATCATTACGTATAAACCTCCATTTTTTCTACAGATGGTGCCTTTAATAAAAAGTGGTCTTCATGTCACATGTGTCAGACCATTAAAAGAGATATTCGTCTCTAATACGAACAAAAATGTTAAATATCATTTGCATTCACAAAAAATCAATAGTTGCTCAGTGTACAGGGGTGTTTAAAATGTCAATGGTCTATTGAACATTTAAATCAACACATATGCTTTGCATCATTGCGTCCAATTTGTTAAAGTCATATACGCTATATGAACGCCGAATTTTGTGTGAAACAAAATGATAAATGATTTAAAACACATGAAGTGTAATGAAAAATAATACTTTCCACAAAATTGTACTATAGATGTCGTTGTAATAACAAAACAATTAAACAATACCTAGGAATTCAGAATTCAGTCTTTTCATGAATATTGATGAAGGAAGTGCGTAAACAGTAGGCATATATATAGAAACACATGTCCACAGGAAATCACAGACAACGAGGTATGTTGTATTTTGAGAACAATTATTAATATAAGGTTAATATGCATCATAATAGAGAAGATGGTTGGTACTGAAAACACTAAAAAATAAGTACCATTAAGTAAGACGCTTGCCATCCACGTCAAAAGTGAGTAGTATCTCAAACGGCCTACCTTGTTTTCTTTACGCCACGTGTGTTTATCAATCTAAAAGTAGCGACGGCGTCACGTGATAGGTTTATTTAAAAATAGATATTTTTCTTTCCTTGCAGGATAATAAATAATCACAATTTGATAAATTTGTAACGCGTTTAATTTTAATTGTGTAATTTACAATATTTTCGTAACTTTTATTGATAAACAAATTATATCAATTTCTAATCGTATTTTAACTGGCGCAAGTTATAGCGTGTATACTTTTAAATATCTTGTTCAAATGCAACTACGAGTACGATCGTTATTCTTTCTAAATCATAATATTATAAATTCCAGTAAAGTGCACCCTTTTGCATTACGTCACAAGCTATTTTGACGGCCGCGCTGAAGGTAAAAAGTACTAGTATACGCCTCCTAATCGCAGACTGTATGTTTCTTGTTTGTGTTTTATGCCCCCGTAAACGAAGTTTCGGGGGTATATAGTTTTGGTCGTGTCTGTCTGTCTGTCTGTCTGTCTCTCTGTTTGCCTGTTTGTCAGCAAAAACCTTAACCTTGCCCATAACTTTTGATTTAGTGGAGCTATGACTTTCATGTTTCATATGTATATTCCTTGTGATAAGACCTTTCTTTGGGTACCACCAAATTTGACCTTTTGACCTTGACCTTGGAGTTTGACCCACTTTTACATAAAAATTTTAAACTTTTACTTTGGCCATATCTTTTGAACAGTAGATACCAGGACATTTATACTTCACATATGTAATGTTTGTTGAAAGACCTTCCATTAAATACCAATAACCTTCACTCTTTGACCTTGACCTTGTAGATTTCCGTACTTGTGAAAAAACTTTAACCTTGGCCATAACTTTTGAACACTAAGTAATAGGGCTTTCATACTTCATATATGTAATCCTTATGAAAAGACCCTTCTTTGATTACCAAGAACTTTGACCCTCTGACCTTGACCTTTGAGATTCACCTACTTCAAAAAAGCAAACCTTGACCATAACTTTTAAAATGTTAGGGCTAGTGCTTTCATACTTTACATATTTGATTTTTATGACAAGACCTTTCATTTGATAACAAGAACTTTGTCCCTTTGACCTTGACCTTGGAGTTTGACCTACTTTTTAATGAACGTTGGCCATAACTTCTGAATGGTTAGGGCTAGGGCTTTTATGCTCAACATAAGTATTCTATGTGGCAAGACCTTTCATTATATACTAATTACATTGACCTTTTGACCTTGACCTTGGAGTTTTTGTTTTTATCTTAAAAAAAACTTTAACATTTGGTTACTTTTAAATTTCACAATTGTTTACCAGTGAGAATACCCTACTTTTGGTACTTTTTAATTAAATTTGCATTTAAGAAAAGCTTAATCTTTGCTATATTGCCATACGGGGGCATCAGTGTTTCACAAACACATCTTGTTTTTTTTTTTCTAAAATAGACTCTTGTACAAGTAACCAATCATGCAGGGATAAGGATAAACTATCAATCAAAAGGCTTGTAGTAAGCAGATACATGTATGTACTACTTGGGCCCAGCTGTCAAAATACCGGTAGGTTGTGACGCAATGCAAAACGGTACACTTCACTGGAATTGATAATATATTTACTGATTGTTTGTTGTTAAAGGTATTCAATGTACTAGTATAAAGACCATATGTTGTACGTAATAAATGAATGGTCTACATGATATTTGATTCATGGTAGCAATTTGAAGATGTTATCAAAAAATGCTCCACCAAAGGAATTTACATAATTTTGATTAATGTCCAATTAATTGCACCTTGAATTTAACATTGATGTCTATGGGCAGCGCATGTTTTTATCAGATATTGTAAGAAGTCATTTGAATTTCCAAGAAATCTCTTGGTGAAAATTTTATATCGCAGAAATTGTGAGAAATCAATAATTTTCTTCTTTTCATCAAGGGCAGATAACTTCAAAAACTTTTTAATGTGCAAAATGACTGTCTCCTTACATGTGAATTTGGTTCATTTCATTTTTACCGTTATCTAGAAATGCTCCTTTAACTAGTTTCAAATTAGTTAAAATCGTTCCAAATTCCCCATTATACATTGAATACCTTAATGTCCCTCAAGAGAATTTTTCACTCGTATGTAGATGCCACCACTTGGCGGTGGAGAGCTACAAATTTTGTCGTATACTCAGCACTCGGGGCTTTTGAGAAGTGAGGGATCTTTTTGTACCAATATAAATGAAGTACAAGTGAGGTAAACATAAAGGTGATTAACGAATGGAATATGGAAACAAGTCCTGAAATCTATTAGAAATTTAGAATATTAACAAGAGGTTCAGAGGCAGCATTGCTCACCTGAGTATTTTGTGGCTATGAAAAAAGCAGAAATCAATTTTGTATTGAAAAAGCATAAATGCATGTGGTTCCAAGCTAGCCCTACATATATACAAGGGAGAGGGGAGTATGATTTGAACAAAATCGAATCTACACTATCGAAATATTCTTACATATTTGTTTTGATTTACCTTGACATTTTCCCTCAAAGTTTGAACTTTCATTGTGACCCCACCCTATCCCTGGGTGATTTAAAATAGAAATTTCAACTAAACTATCTGAGAATGCCTCCATATAAAATTATAAATATGACCAACCATGGCTTTGCTTCGACCTAACACAGATATATCGACGACACATAATCATTCAACAATACTTCCATCAACATGTCAACTCGATATTTCCCAGTATATAACACAAAGACTGACACATCTGTTTCACATTTGGGTGTTTTACTTGAAATATACATAGTAACATTAATTTAATGGTATCTACCAACAATGGTGTGTGATCAACGCAATGACTAAAACTGTCAATTGTCAACTTCCTTTACCTATGAAGCAGTAGACCTAATAATCTATATCTAAGATTGATTGATTGATTGATTGAATATTGTTTAACGTACCTTAGCTTTTGAGAATTTTTCACTCATATGGAGACGCTGCGGCCACCACTTACCGGTGGGGAGCTGCAAATCCTGTCCTATATACTCGGCACTTAGGGCCATTAAGCAGGGGGGGGGGATATTTTACGGGCCAACACCTACTGCGACACGGGACATCGGTTTACGCAGTCTCATCCGAAGGACCGGTCTCCACGTCCCACAGTCCTTACTTCGCGACTCTAGAGCAGACGCTATTATTAATCTCTCTCTTTTTTTAAAATTAAATTTTATATTTCAACTCTCTAAATCCTTAAATTGAAATTTTGTCTCTAAGAATATGCTCTATTTACTATCATTTTTTTTTTAACGGAGCAAGCTATTTATTACAAGTTGATGAAATAAGAATGTAAACAGTCTTGTTCGAAACGTCATTAAATTTTACAAAAGAAGCAAGTTTTATAACTTTATAAATACAACGACCCTTTCAGCAAAACATATATTAATAATATCCAATATCAATATATTCACCGAATTAATAAAAAAATTCTATACAAATATACATTATTTTCACGAATTCTTTGAACTTTTCTTTATATGTACAATATTATGGTCAGATTTCATTCATTGATGTTTGATCTCCTTTTATTTTAAATTTTGACCATATCTCTAGTTTCCTACGACCGGGCAAAAAGTATTGATTGGTAATATAAAACCGTTATCTGACCAAAAAAAATACAAATCAGCCGTAGGGTAGGGTGGTACATTAAATTCAAATTTTTGATGGTCTTGTCACTCCCCTATTATGACTTTAAATGTCTAAGAAAGTACTTATTCTGACCAGAAGTATAGCATGGAACCCCCCCCCCCCCCCAATAATAAATAAATAAATAAATAAATAAAATATGAAAGGACAAAAAATAATAATAAATAAAAGTAGAAAAACTTAATTTACAGTAAATAAACACCGAAATCCTGCAATTTGCCCATGTTGCCGGTGATGGAACAAAGCGTGGGGCAAACATGATAAACTTACTCAGAAAAAAAATGCCCCCCTCCACCTCTCTAAGGATCGCTTATTCAGTGATATATTTATTCATTTATAAACCCTGAAGTTTCCCTTTGTAGAAACGCCTTAATATTACACGCCTTTTTGGACCAAGAGTGCTCTGCACAGCTTGTAAGAAAATCGGCACAAGGCTTTGCATCCCTTTGCTTCGGAGATGGACGCATCCTGTGACGTCACAGCACGGGACACTTGGCTCTGATTACAAACAGTGCGGCAAGGCAGTTTACCTGAGAAGATTTCATATGCAAATTGAGTAGGAAATCAACACCAATCAGCAGGTGAGATTTACAGGTTTGACAGAGCGACGTCACGGTATAAATTGAGCTCACTTATGCTAAACTTTGGTCAGGAGGAAAGTTGTCGTGGAGTTAGGAGGTTGACCGATTTAAAAAGTACGCACGTGCAGTTTTATGTCAAAATGTCGGCTTTGGTGAGTTTCTGTAAAAAATATTTAGAATAACATTCTAAACAATTTAGTCATTGTGCTCAGACAACATTTGTCTTCCAAAGTTAGTTTACTTCATTTTGTACAAGAAATTGACAGCTTGCACAAAAGTGACACCGTGGGAAAGTTTTCATTCATAGATACAGCAACGCTCAGCAAAATTAGTTTACTTTTTTCTGACTTAATTAATAAGTGATGGTGTATGAGTGTGAAATCCCCCTTCTTTAATTATTGATAATGGACACTAAATAAAAAATTGCATTTTAATAAATGAAACGTGATAAACATCATGATGACATTAACAGTGTTGTTATTTTAGAGCACCTAGGCTAGCTAACATTTATAAATTACAATGCATGTTTAAAGTTATATTTTTGTGAATCTAGAAAACACTGAGAATAACTTAACTGAAAACTATTGCTGCCTAAAAGGTAATAATTGATCAGCTTTCTTAAAAAATAAATTTTCTATAATTTCTGAAAAAAAATTGGATCTTTACATCACTGCACATGTCAAAATGAGAGTCTGGCTTACTGCTTTCAAGTGCAGCCCAAGAATAAGAATATGCCCTATACATTATGATGTAATAAATAAGTTAATCCCTTGACGTTGTAGTGGTAAGCCGGGTTGGATGGCCATGTTTGATTGCTGGTGACCAGATAGCTCACTCGGTGGAGCACCTGATTCAGGGGGCCCGGGTTTGAATCCCTGTCTGGTCTGCTGCATTTTCTACTCTCCTATGACACCTGTATGCTATTCTTAAGACTTGACGTAAAGATATTTGTTTGTAATTGCTTCAGAATTCAGAGGTTCCGTCTATTAATGTGGAGGACTTTGACCGTCAGCCGGAGGGTATAAAGTATGCTAGTAACTTTGACATCTGGAAGAACATCAACGCCATGCTCCATGGATCACTGAACATTCCAGAGATGGGCCCCACCGCAGTTCCTCCTGACCAATCAAAACGTGAGTTGCATTTTTCTACATTGTCTAATCAAAGGGTGACTTTTATTTCGTCTGAGAAAGATAGTACAAACTAAACATGAGTTTTATTTTGCTTCAAAGTCTGATCGATCTAAATGTGAGTTTTATTTTTCTTCTAAGATCATGCAGTCATATCAAAATATGACCTCTGTCTCTCAGAGTGAACAACCATACTAATAGTTAAATTTTATCTAATCTTCATATTTGAAAATCCTATTTATTTTCGTAATTTTAGATATTTAATTTTTTTCTTTAATTAGCCCCTTCACGATAACTGCGGTACTACTCTTTTGCAGGGCAAATTAATAAGGTTTGGCCAAGTTTTTCTTCATAGATAATTAAATGACGTATTTTAAACAATTACTTTAACTTCATATTCCACCAAAATATATCATTTTGCCCTGCAAAATAGTAGTACCACAGTTATCTTGAAAGGATCTATAGGATTTCCTTTTTAACTTTGAATTCATTTTTCTTCCATGGAAAGTTTTTTTTTCTCCTCTTTGTATAAATTAATATAAATTTCAATGCCCACATCAAATTATCATAGTTATTAAATGTAGTTATTATACATGTAACTAGTTAGGTCACCTGAGTAACTCAGGTGACCTATTGCTATCTGTTTTCGTCCGTCGTCCATCGTCCATCGTGTGTTAACATTTGAACATTTTCAGCTTCTTCTCTGAATTCACTGAACCAATTTCAACCAAATTTGGTATACAGCATCTATGGGTGAAGGGGAACAAAAATTATGAATTTCATGGTCCCCGCCCCCCTAGGGCCTGAGGGGTGGGGCCAAAACCACTAAAATTATTGCGATCTTTAAAAATCTTCTTTACTCCTGGACATCAAGCAAACTGTTGACATGAATGTAATGAGCATTGAGTCCTCTACCAAAATTGTGAAATTCATGGCACCAGGGTCAGGGATTCTAGTGCTAGGGCGGGGCTATATAGATTATATAGTGAAAATGCATTATTTCTTTGAAAATCTTCTTCTCTGCTCCTGGGTATTAAGTAATCTAACTAAGTACATAGTTATGATGATCAAGAGTGCCTCTTCCAGATTTTTGAATTTTATGGCCCCAGGGTCATGGGTTCTGGTGTAAGGGCGGGGCTCTATTAATTATATAGTGAAAATGCATTTATTCTCTGAAATCTTCTTCTCTGCTTCTGGATATTGAATAAAATAACTAAGCACAAAGTTATGATGAGCAAGAGTGCTTTTTCCAAAATTATGAATTTTATGGCCCCAGGGTCAGGGGTTCTGGTGATAGGGTGGGGCTCTATTGATTATATAGCGAAAATGCATTTACTCTTTAAAAGTCTTCTTCTCTGCTTCTGGATATAAACTAACTAAGCACATAGTCATGATGAGCAAGAGTGCCTCTTCCAGATTTGTGAATTTTATGGCCCCAGGGTTAAGGGTTCTGGTGTTAGGGCGGGGCTCTATTGATCATATAGTGAAAATGCATTTATTCTTTGAAAATCTTCTTCTCTGCTTCTGGGTATTAAATAAACTAAGCACATAGTTATGATGAGCAAGAGTGCCTCCTATAAAATTGTGAATTTCATGCCCCCTGGGTCAGAAGGGGGGGGGGGGCTACATAGTCTGAAAATAAATTAATGCTTTTAAGTCTGCTCTTTAAAATATTAATCAACCATTTTGTTTTAAAATTTGCAAAATTTTGAAATATGTGGCCCCTTGGGTCAGTGGTTCCTTTGGGGTGAGGTGCACAACTTGGTATAAAGTGGAAGTGCATTTTCTCTTTGTTACTCTGATCTACCTCTGGGTATTTAGTAAATAGAGTAAGCATGTTAAGTTAATAATTATGATAAGCAATGGTGCCTCTTTCAAAATTGTGAATTGTGAATTTCATGGCCTCTGGTTTAAACCAAATTCAAGTGTTTGAAAGTTGTTTCACAATACTCAGGTGACCTATAAGGCCCGTGGGCCTCTTGTTTCTTTAATACATTGTAACTCTTTTGAGAAAAAAAAAACTATGATTTGCCAGGATTCTAACAGATCAGTTTATTTATAGAAACAATTCATCAGATGGGGGTCCGTTCCCATCAAGACCCCACACCCAACATCTACGAACAGCTGTACAACAGTGTGTACTCTACTAATGCGGCTTATCAGAGTACAGCGGGGGCATATAATACTGGCCAAGGATATTCCAATAACCCATATCCAGGTAAGTAATATAATTAGTATTATTTATAGCTGTACAAGTGTGTACTCTACTAACGCGGCTTATCAGAGTACAGCGGGGGCATACGGTACAGGCCAGGGATATTCCAATAATCCATACCCAGGTAAGTAATATAAGTAATATTATTTATAGCTTTAGAACAGTGAGTACTCTACCAAGGCAGGCTAGGCAGCTTATCAGAGTACAGCGGGGGCATATGGCACTGAACAGGTTTACTCTAATTACCGGTACCACAGTAAATAAGATTAACAAATTTAACAGGACAAATATACACTAGTAAGCAGTGCCCAAGTAAAAACTTTGTATGTAACAAGACGGTGGAGGGGTTAATATTTCTTTCTTCTTTGACCACAGGGTTCCAGCTGTTCTCTGTAGCCAATACAAACCAGGCTCAAAATCAATCCCAGAATGCCTCAGGCTCACATCAATCCCATGCTGCTCACTCAACTCATGCTGCTCACTCGGGGCAACCGCAGCCACAGATCCCTAACTATGGATATGGTACTCACTCCTACAAGGACATGTATACAACTCCTCCTAAACAATCCCGGGCCATCAAAGGCAGTCCAGGTACTCCCAATAGGTAAGTAATCCCAAGCCATCAAAGGCAGTCCTGATACTCCTAACAGGTAAACAATCCTGAGCCATAGATCCCTTGTCATAAAGCCAGCATTCACTCCTACAGAATATGTACGAGGGTTGTCCCGTAAAATCGTAGACAAGTTGTCTAGTTTGAAAAATAATCATCACTAAACAGTTCTGAAATTTTCATAAAGCCAGTAGATAAATTATGAATATAAATAGCAAATTTCAAATAGATATATGCATAGGTAAACAAATTATGATATTTTATGTTATGTACTGTATCGCACTACGGCTCACAATGATAACGTCATCATGTCTAAAACAGCGTCACGTTTCATCTTTGCTAAACTTAAAGTTGGATAAACCCCACTTAAATTTAGAAATTTTAATTGATTTACATATGTGAAGTATCTATAACCAGTTCAGAAACAATGTGGCACACTCAAGGCAATCTTACTCCCAATATTTATTAGCAAGTTACAGACAGTATTCTCCAAGGCAGCTTATCAGAGTACAGCAATCAGTATTACCTGTACCACAGTAAATAAGTCATAAAGCCAGAATTGTACCATCATTCAACTAAAAGAGAATCTCAGATCGACGGTTGACAATGACAGCGTCCTTTGCTATTACAAATCCCAGTCTGTCCATATGTTTTGTGCTGTCCTGGTACTCCCAATAGGTAAGAATTCACTAAGATAAACTTTCCTTTATATACTAAAGATCTTGTGATATTTTTCATATCTTTCTTCTGTATTCATTTACAACTCCTCCTACAACAATCCTTATCTATCAAAGGCTCCCGGTACTCCGTAGGTACAGCTATAAAAAGTCGCCATTTTTCGTTATTGTGTTTATTACTCTCCCATTTCAAATGCTGTATACAACTGCCAAAAATTAACCAAATGCCTTGAAATTTTTAAATAGACATAGAATTGATTAAGGAATGGAATTAGGCATTTTCATCCTAATCTTATGTATTGAAAATTTTTATTATGAATTAATTCTTATGTCTTCTCTAATATAACCTTGCTATTTTTACCGTGCGCCGTAAGACCGTACCTTGTGCACATTCAAGCAGAATAAAATCTTTATTTTTGAATATATATTATCAAAAACATTATGACTCACTTAAATATGATGAATAAACATTTACTGATAATTTCAGCTTAGTGTGCCCATTACTTTTCGAGAAAAACGCTTTGTCCACGATTTTATGGGACAACCCTCGTATACAACCCCTCCATAACAATTTCAAGCCATCAAAGGCAGTCCAGGTACCTATAGGTAAGTTATCACAGGCCATAAATCCCTTATCATGAATACAGCCCGTACTCAGTCTCAGAAAGATACATGTATGTATAACACTTGTCCTATTATAATCAGTTCTAAACTTTCATATTCATGCTTGTATTGATAGTGGCATTATTCTATTTTTATAGAAAACCAAAAAAAGGTACTACACAGATCTTTTCTATGTTATTTTAGCAGTGACTATGGAACCCTGTCCCCCCAGAGTCCACAGAACGAGGGTGGATTGTCACCTGTAGAGAAGATGATATACTCCAGCATCATGCAACAGGGAAACAAACAGACGAGGAGTGTCTCCCCCTGTGACTCTGACACCAGTGGTATCAGTAGCGAGGGGTCAGAGGCCGCACTCATAGACATGATGGTAAGTTATAAGGAAAAAGCCAGAGGCTGCACTCATAGACATGATCATGGTAAGTTATAGGGTAAAAATCAGAGGCAGTTCTCATATATATGATGGTTAGAATATGAATGTAAGTTACAAAAGAAAAAGCCAGAGGATTACCCAGAGGCTGCACTAACATGATCATGGTAAGTTATAGGGTAAAAATCAGAGGCAGTTCTCATATATATGATGGTTAGAATACGAATGTAAGTTACAAAAGAAAAAGCCAGAGGACTACCTCATGGTAATATGAAGTTAAAAAAATAGCCAGTATTAAAAATCTGCATGTATCTATTTAAAATATTTATTAGTTATTACAAAGCATGATTATCATCATTCTTTATTTAGAACACACTGAATCTGGGAAACAGAGTCCAGCAACCTCAGCAACAAACCACAGCACAGGACGTTGCTGCCCAGATCTACAACGCACAGCTGCAGCAGCAGCAGCAACAGGTGGTGCGTGAGAACGCCAGCGCCCTGAGTCAGGTCATCCCACAGGCCAGGACGACATACGGCGGCGTGGTCAATCCTTTCCTGATGGCCAGCACTGACCCCTACGCTATTGACCGGGCAGCCAGGTTACACAGGAACGCTGCTGGTGAGAGATATTTGGATTAATTAGCAATAGTCTAGTTCACTAATTATTTCTCGACACCTTATTTTTGTGAGATAATCATTGACTTTTAATTGGCAAGACATAATTTTCACGAATTGTTGTTTATAATTTCTAATTATCGTAAGGAATACTATTATATGCTAGTAAGAATGAAATTTCCGCGAGTTCACTGTCTCTTGTAATTAGGCGAAAAGAAAGTTATCCGAATAAAAAAGTGATTAACACTCTACAGGTTTATTTTCCCTTTTCTCTTAAATAAATTTAGATACATTACAATAATTTTGTAAAAGTAATGCATTGCTTTAAATTTATTTTGGCTCATTTTGATTTCTTTTAAAATTCTTTTTCCGTTGTCTGAAATATATTTTAGCAGTAGGTCACTTATTACATGTATAGTCTTAAATTATTCTGTTTATAGAAAAGTTTTGGAGAAGTCTACACAAAAAGCACCAGACTGATAGGTTTACGAAGATAACTTGTTGTGTATTTGTATAAGATCTAATAGTGACTAATACATATTTTTTACATTTACAGCAATGTGTGAGGCCACATGTACCTGGAGTGGACAACTTCCCCAGAAGAATTACAAAAACCCCACCTACTCTTGTAAAGTATTCCTAGGGGGCGTGCCCTGGGACATCACAGAGGGTAAGTGTCAAAACCTAACCATCTCCTGTAATGACTGAGGGTAAGTGTCAAAACCCCACCTACTCCTGTAAAGTATTCCTAGGGGGCGTGCCCTGGAACATCACAGAGGGTAAGTGTCAAAACCCCACCTACTCCTGTAAAGTATTCCTAGGGGCGTGCCATGGGACATCAATGTGTGAAGTCTCACCCTGTACCTGTAATGACTGAGGGTGGACAACAATCTCCTGCTTCCCCCCTGGAACATCACAGAGGGTAAGTGTCAAAACCCCACCTACTCCTGTAAAGTATTCCTAGGGGGCGTGCCCTGGGACATCACAGAGGGTAAGTCTCAAAATCCCATAATATCCTGCATGACTGAGGGTAAGTGTCAAAACCCCACAATCTCCTGCAATGTACCTTTGTATTTCACAGAGGGTATGATAATGTTTTCTTAATCATGTGCCTTGAAACATCACAGGAAAAATCCTTATAGACATAATGGTTGTGACTGAGACCTGAGGGTAAGCATCAAAACCCAACACCCCCTGAAATGTGCCCTTGGACATCACTGAGGGTAAGTGTCAAAACCCACCTACTTCTGTAAGTCTATTTAGGAGGCATGCTCTTGGACATTACCAAGGGTAAGTGTCAAAACATTGTATTCTAAAAAGGATATAACTCTTACTAAGTGTAAAAGTATAACATTCCTTGAGAGTATTCTCTTTAATACATTGTTAGAGAAAACATAGTTTACTTTGTGGGTAAATACCATTCATTGTTTTCTGAAACTCACTGTTATTACAGCTGGTCTACAGTCTGCCTTTATGAAGTTTGGATCCTTCAAGATTGAGTGGCCAGGAAAAGATGGTGAGTGTTTATTTTCTTACAATTCATTGAATCTCAGAAATACCTAATCTGAGTCAAATGTGTATCACTTTTCTGATTTAACTATAAAATGTTGGATTCCTGACCCTAATGATTCTTGGTCAGGGAAACCAACCTCCTGAATTTCTGATTCAGGTCAAAAATAAAATAGCTGATTTGTATTGAGACCTATGAACAAGATTGCACCCACATATTGTTTCTGTCTTCATACCTTTCTATGTTTTAATACAGGTTATGTGTACCTTTTGTTTGAATCAGAGAAGGCAGTGAGGGGACTGTTACAGGACTGCACTCATGATTTCAGTAGTGGTGATTACTACTTCAAAATATCAAGCAGAAGGATGAGAGCAAAGGAGGTCAGAGTTCATTTGTTTAATAAAACAGAACAGGTCAAAGGTCATCAAATTAGTAGGTGTATCATCATATTTATAACATAAAGAAAGTCAAAAGTCAAAGTCAAAAGTTCATAACATTATTTATCAGAACAAAAAAAAATCATGGATGAATATGAGGAATTTAGCCAGTGCTCAGTGTGGACATAGGCAAAAGAGAACTAATGGAAAACTAAGAGTTATCTCCCCTTTTTAAAAGATGCAAATTCATATGGAGATTAGATTTTGTTTTCGAGATAATGGGTAAGCCATGTTTCATTATAGTAATCCTCCTCTTAATTATGAAATCCTTGACCATTGGTCACTCATGTTTCTGGAGAAAACTATTTCTCTGAGATAAAAGTTTAGAAATATACTACTCCAAAGCATTCCTACAGTAATCCTCCTCCTCCTACAGGTTCAGGTGATCCCGTGGGTGCTGAGTGACAGTAACTTTGTCCGTCAGCCGTCACAGCGACTGGACTCCAACAAGACGGTGTTTGTGGGGGCCCTCCATGGGATGATGACCGCCGAGGCCCTCGCTAACATCATGAATGATCTCTTCGCTAACGTGGTGTATGCTGGGATAGACACAGACAAACACAAGTACCCTATCGGTTAGTAACTGATAACATTATAAAAGATAATGGGAGGTTTATTTCATTTTGATGTCAGTGAAATGGGTGGAGGAGGATACACTATTCAATTTACAGTAAATGATAGTATAATAAAGGATAATGTGAGGTTTTCCGTTTTATGCCATTGATTTTTTTTTATGTTGCCTAGATAGAAGATTTTTTACCTTGAAGAGTTTGGCTTTCATTGCATATAAGCCTGGGGTCAAAAGGTTGAATTTGAGTATGTATGACTTGCAGAGATAAAAATTAGTCAATGATAAATTCATGCAATTTTGAATTTCCTGCAAAAAAATTTTTTAACAAAGGATATGGTTTCCGTTGTTTTTAATTAAAATGCAAGACTACATTTCAAATGTTGAAATATTTGTTATGATTTCAAATTCAAATTTTGTCAAAACCTCAAAAAAAAAAAGTCAATAATATCACAGGTGACATGTCATTTGAAGGCTTCCTCTAAGTTCCTGTTATCTAATATTACAGGAAGTGGTAGAGTGACCTTCAGTTCTAAGAAGAGCTACATGAAGGCTGTCCAGGCTGCCTTTATAGAGATCAAGACACCCAAGTTCACAAAGAAGGTCAGTATGTAGAACATGGCTAACAGACTAGACTCCATGCTTCAAAAGTCAGCTCTTTGAAGAATTTTGGGGAAAAAAAGGGAAGACAACTAGATCTTTGCTGAAAATAAAGCTCTCACAAATAAAAAGTGAAGAACAGTTTTGCATGTACCTGTGTCTTTTAGCAGTTTGTCTTGAATCAAGGACATTAAGGAGTTTTAAAGCTGTGATAAGCATTGGATGGGGGAGGGAATAGGTGGATGAGGTAATCCTTGGATAGTTTTGATATGTACAAAATTCTATATTTAGATCCAAGTGGACCCATACTTAAAGGACATGTAAACATTGGACATCATTTTGTGTGACACAACTTTGAAAGTGAACAGGGGAGACGAGGTAAAAATATATAACCTCAACAAATAAAATTGGGGGTGGTAATAGACAGTTTTGCATGTATCTATGCGGTTTGACTTGAATCCGTCATCTAGTCTGTGCATCGTTTAATCTTTCTTACAGAGGGACATTAAAACTACTCCACACAAAGATTGCATGACCTAAGGGTGTGTCATGACCTTGACCTAAGGTCATTTGGGGAAGTTCAAGGTCACTGGAAGAAAAAAAACATAATTCCTGTCCGGTCCAAGTGTGTGGTTTTCATTTCACACAAAGATTGCCCATGACCCATGGGTGTGTCATGACCTTGACCCAAGGTCATTTGGGGAAGTTCTAGGTCTTTGGAAGTAAAATTCATAATTTGTGTCCGGATGGATAAACTTGGTAGGTTCTTTTTTGTGTGTAAGATTACCCAAGGGTGTGTCATGACCTTGACCCAAGGTCATTTGGGGAAGTTCAAGGTCAAATGTTTAATAATTCCTGTCCAGTCCATATCTTTCCTATGGATAAACTTGGTAGGTTGTCATTTCACACAAAGATTGCCCATGACCCAAGGGTTTGTCATTTGACCCAAGGTCATTTGTGGAAGTTAAAGGTCACTGGAAGAAAAATTCATAATTCATGTGTGATACAGTACATATCTTTCCTAGTGTTTGTAGGTTGTCATTTCACACAGTATGATACACCGTGGCAACCCAAATGTGTATAAATTTACACATTGACTGCGTTAAATAAGCATTGGGTGGTTCAAGGTCACTGGAAGAAAAATTTCATAATTCAAGGTGGATGAGGTTTCTTTATGGTAAAGAATTATATGATAAACCCAGCGGGGGGTCATTTTGTGAGGTTGTCAACAATTTTTTGCTCAATTTTAACTATTTGATGAAAAATAGGGATAATAAAATAAATATGAACATGGGAGATAATTTTATGAGGTCTTGACAATTCTTGCTCCAATTTGTGGATTAAAGAATGGGATATAACCTATTCCTACAGAGATTCATCAAATCAGCTATGAAGCTTTGTCAGTACAAAAGTATTAAAATAGCAATGAAATACTAAAAATAGTAACCTTGAATAGTTTTGATATGTACAAAATTCTATATTTAGATCCAAGTGGACCCACACTTAGAGGATACCAAAAAAATACTAGAAATAGTAACCTTGGATGATTTTAATTTTTTGTACTACGTTCTATATTTAGATCCAGGTTGACCCGTATTTGGAGGACTCTATCTGTAGCCTGTGTGCCACGCAGCAGGGGCCTTACTTCTGTCGGGACATGCAGTGCTTCAAGTATTTCTGTAGGAACTGCTGGTACTGGCAGCACGCGCTGGACAGTCTGCGTCATCACAAACCGGTCACCCGGAACACCAAGACCACAAACCTCATCGCGGCCGCGTCAGTATAAAGGAAACCAGTCACCCGGAACACCTAGATGACCAGCCTCATCGTGGCCATATCAGTGTAAATCGAAGGAAATCAGTTTACAGATAGCTTTTCAGTTTAAATGAAATTTGAACTTTTTGTCATTCCATATCAGATTTTGGAGATTCTATTCAACAGAGTAGAACTTCCTGAAAAAAAAAAAATCTTTTTTTTTTTTTTTTTTTACAAAGGTGCTCAGGAAAGTGCTACATACCCGATTGTTTTCATTTGAAAAAAATATTTTATAATTTTTTTTTGTCCGTCCAGATAGATGAATAGAATATGTCTCATTTTAGATATTATTAGTGTCTCAGAAAGATGTTATTACATATATATTGGTGTATCTGAACTTTTTAATGTTATGATTTACATGTAAAATTTTCTCTCCCATTTTTAACATAAACCTATTCATTGCTTTACAATTCCTTCACTCCCCTGGAATATTAAAGGAATACATTTTTTTACTCTTTAAATCAGATTTTTTAAAATTTAATTTTCCTCTGGTTATTTTTTAAGGGGGATGTTTTGTCTCAAGATATCGGTTTGACCTTAGTGAGGTTTTTTCTAGGTCAGAAGGTGTATTTATTTCTTGTCTATGATTTTTATGTCTTAATAACAACTACAGCTTTTACTTACAGGTGATTATCTATTGATTATGAGTGATTTTTCTAGCTGATTCATTAATAATGATTGATCTTATTTCTCTGTGTGTGCAGCATAAAGGTCAAGTAGACCACCTTTGATATAAGCCTGTTGGCAGTGTATTAATTGTTGTACAGTGTTTTGTTTGTGTGGGGTAAATTGAAATGTTTGCTCAGATTTCTTGTATCAGAGTGTAAAGTATATAGTTTATATATGTTTCTATGTTTAAAAGTATTTTGTTTCTTTTCCTAATGTTATTTTTTTTGTCTGTAATTTACATGTGTACCTACAAGTGCTGACTAACTTTCTGTTTTGCTATTTGAAAGTGCTATCGCGCATTGAATAGAAACTTTTGAATTCCATATTTTTATACATAAAAAACATGTATTCAGAGGAGAACATGGCATCATTTTAGGAACAAATGTAAGCCATGCTTATAAGATTAGTCAAAGAAATTTAGTATTACAATGTTTGTACAAGATAACTGTGTGTAGAATTTAGATTTTATGTGTTTAACTCTTTTTGCTGAGGAGGTTAAAAAGGTTATCAAGGGAGTTAACCAAAGACAATTTTTAAGGACAAGATGAATGCTTTCAATGAATCAAAGTTCTTTTTAAGTTTTACTCAAAAAGTCCAAAGATTTTAGGTACAGTGGGTTAGAACCTAAATTTTGTCAGCTGAATGTTTATTTGTATTTTTTTTTTCTAATTTCATGTGTTTTATATTTTTTCTGTCTTTTTTGTGAAACGTACAATTTCAATTTTTTTATGAATATTCATTTATTATGGAGTGATATATTCAATGCATTCCAGATTTGTATGTTGTAAATATAGTGGTATATTGTGCAAGTTTTGTTTTGGTGATCAGGATTTTTGAATTCCATTTTTTGTGTTGGTCGTTTTTTTTGCTGTTTTTGTATTCATTGGCCATTTGCACTTGTTAATAGCACTGCAAGTTAATATTTTCAATATTTTTTTCTAAGGAACAGCTAATGCAGAGAAATTAAGCAAAAAAAAAAAATTTGGAACTAAATTTCATTTAAATTCCATTGCCTACATATACATGTAATTGGCTTTTCTAAATCATGATTGTTTCGTAAAATTAAGACACTAATTTATTGAACATTTTAAATGAATCTGATATTCATAGATATTTTATTTAAGCAACAATTCTTCCATTTTTTAAAGATGAAACATTTTTTTAAAGGATATGTCCATATATGTCAGAATTCAATATATGTATGTGATTCAATATTTTGATTTCTGAATCGGTTCAACAGACTGTCAGTAAGGAGATAATTCATTTTTTTAAAAAAATAAACTTCAGAAAAAGAGAATAGAAATTTAATTTTTCTTCTGAATTATTTTTTTAAAGTCAATCAAATCTTGAGAAATTAATATCCAATTACAAATAAAATGATACTTAATTATATTACAGTTTTAATCAAGACCTCTTTTTAACTTTTTTTTGTTAGTTTATTAGTTTCATGTGAATCAGGATTTGAATTTTAGCTTTCTGTTTCATGAGTATAAGATGTACACATTTTTCTTGATTACCTTATTGGAGAAAGATTTTAAACATTTATAGTGATTAATTTTAAACAACACCTATGTATTAATCATTGTTCAAATTGTGATGGCAATTACTAAACATTCATTTTTACCTGACTGAAGAAGAAGAAAAAAACCTTTGCTAGACATTTTAGAATGTTGTAATTAGTTTTGTTTAAATTAAAGAAAAGATTGGAGTTATTCCCCTTTTATGAATGGAGAGCATCAAAGAGTCATTGGTAATTTCATTAATAATTAAGCAATGAGGATTTTTTTTTCAAGCTTGTCAGTGAGAAAATAAAGGTTTAGTAATTTTTCTTGTACTTATGCATAACATTGCCTTATTTGTGATGGATAATTATCATAAACTGATCATATTAATAGCTAATCCTTTTTTTATCTCTTTTGTGTCTTAATGTTTTTAGATTTGTATCAGTGTCCAACATTTACAGTGCATAACTGTTTTTCTGTCACTTTAAAATCCAGATGCTATTGTATGACATGCTTTTGATAGTTTTTCTGAATGTTATGCATAATAACAATTTGATTGCTTGATTAGATGCGAGATTTCAAAGTTTTTATCATAAATTAATTGTTTTTCAAATCAGTATAGATATAGATTTCTGGTAGAGTAATGCTTAGCATTACCCCCAGGGTACTTAGCGGTGATTAGATTTATTTCCTAATGGAATCTTAGTTTTATTTCAAAGAGAACTTACAAAGTTATTTTGAATTTTAACAATTTAATCATCATGTTTAAACAGTGTTGGAATTACTGTTTGTTTACTAGACTTGAAGGCAGGGAGATTTTATTGTGAAAATAGAATATAAAGACAAGATCAGAAAAAATTGTGGATGAGTATTTGTATCAAATTTTTGATGGAGGTCATCCTAATGTTTTGAGGTTTTGCAGTTTTCAGTATTAACTGAATAAGGGATAATGTGTATGTGTTGTGTGTGCAATGAAAATATGAATTGCAGAGACAGTGAAGTACCAATTTGTGTTACATTCCATTTACATGGTTTATTATTTTTTTGGTCAAACACTGACAAAAGTTTGAACATTGTAGTGTCATAGTATAAAACTAGTGACTGTCATAGATTTCATATTACAATGAAATTTTAGATTGTAAACAGAATCGTGGAAATTTTCTAAAGGTCAAATCAAGAATTATGACAACTAATGAAAGACTGTTGTAGAAAAAAATAGAATTTTTATTTTGCAATTGTTCAAAGCTACATTCTTCCATTGTATGAGGGAAGATAGAATGTTGAAGATGTATGATGGCATTCATAATTCTGGTGTTTGGTAAATATGCCCCACTCACTATGTATTTTGATTTAGAGGTTCACCGGCTCTCTATTTTTGGAGACATTTATTTTTGTATAGTGCAGTTCAGGCAGGCAGCCTTTTTTGTATTTTTTGTTTAACTCTGCCAAGAGCAGTTTTGTCTCTTTTTTGTTACTTTATTTTATATATTTTTTCTTTTTTTTTCTTTTTTTTTTGTACTGCACTGCACAATTTTTGAGGCCAAGAATTTAAAACTTATATAAAAAGTTAAATAAATTGTTTTTTTGCAGATTTTATTGTGTCTTCTTAAAATTATGTAATAATCTACAGAAAATGAGGTTTTGATGGAAAAATATTCATCACAGGTGCTAATTGAAAGTGAAAACAAGATTTGCATGTGAAGTGTATGGCGAGGGTTGAAGTTTCTGAAATGCAAGTAAAATTCCACAGGTTATAAGGTCATAAGCTCAAAGTTGTCGGTATTCAAAGAAAGGTCTTGTCATAAGGAATACTCATGTGAAATATAAAAGCCCTAAATTTAACTGTTCAGAAATTATGACCAAGGTGAAAGTGTTTTTAAAAGTGGGTCAAACTCCTTAAGTTCAAGGTAAAAAGGTCAAACATTTATAACCACTGAAAGGTCCTGTCACAAGGAATTTACATGTGAAGTGTGTAAGCCATAGCACCAACTGTTATGGCAAAAGTTAAAGTGTGAAATGTTTTTGTAAAAGTGGGTCAAACTTCAAGTTCAAGAGGTCAAATTTGGTGGTACCCAAAGAAAAGTCTTGAGTTGTCACAAGAAATATACGTTTGAAATATGAAGCCATAGCCCCCATCCACGCAAAAGTAAAGAGCAATGTAAAAGTTTTTGTGGATCGAGAGATAGACGGACGAACAGGGCAAAAACTACATACCCCCGGGGGCATAAAAAAGATTTTAAAAATCCAGCTCTTCTGAGCAGATGAGGCTCAAATGAGCTACATATATTAACGCCATGACTAATTGTGTAGTGAACAATGTGCAAAAAGTGTGTGGAATATGGACAGTATGTAGGATTCCTTTGTCTTTGTAACAATCCTCGTTCTAATCACTTTCATTTATGACAAAAAGTTAAGGATGTTACCAATAAATAAGGGGAAGTAAATAAGGAAAAAATAAATAAACTTTAAGGTACATGTTGTTACTACAAATCCTTTTGAAGCAAGGCTTGTAGTATCCATCCCTATAAGCATCATCTATGCAAGTTTCGTCTTATAATTACCTGAGAAGGGACCTGCGCCCAAACGTTAACCTGGTAACTCATCTGGAAAATGTAGGTCAAATCCGGAATCTGAAGCAAGCCTGATGGTAAGTGACCATCCTAAATGCATCATGCATCCTAAATACATCATGCATACATGTAAGTTTTGTCAAGGGCTTATATATACTTGGTAATGAACCTGCTCCTAAACCTTCAACAAGGACACTGACGCTAACGCCGGGGTGTACTAGTAGTAAGGGCTAATGGCGACTTCCAGGTGAGCTAAAATTCAGGCACGTAGCAACGGACAGCCCCCTTTTTTGCAAACATAAATTTTACTATTGAAAAGGTTCATTGAAAGGCCGGTTGCCTCCCCCCCCACTTTTTGTTACAGTAAAATAAAGTAGTATTGTATTTTCGGTTAAGGAAATTTGGTACTGAAAGAAGTTGGCATTTAACCCCCCCCCTCCCCCGGAAGTAGGGTTTTCGAGTTTGTGCAATGTTCCCTTTTTTGTCAACTTTTTTCAGGTAAGTTTATTTTTTTTCTCTGGCGCCCCTTTCAAAAGCTATGCTACGTCACTGAAATCATCAGAATTTTATGACAGATTACTAGTTAAAATGATTCGTGCACAATGCCTTAGAGAGTCGTGCAAGAAACATTGCGATTTGATACATCTTAGAAACGATGTTTATTTGTATTATACTGTATTCCGTTATAAGCAGAACTGTTTTTGGTTTAAATCATTTTTTTTTCAAAACCTTTTGCATGAAAAGAAGGTCACTTTATGTTATATTCAGTTCGACATGTAATAGTTATTGTATATTTATTATGGTGTATCCTGAGTTATTTGGACGAAGGGATTGACAGTGCAAGCACGAAGAACCTGTTAAATCAACAGGATACACCATGAAAATATTCAATAACTTTCTTGTATCATGGCCAATCAAACGTCATGTCACAGATTTTCAGCATGATTTTTAATTACACCATAGAAAATATAGTTTTTGTCAGGTGACCGCATGGATAATCTCTCCTTCCTGTCAGTATTTTTAATAAACATTTTACGTGCGTGTGTTCATGAGAAAGGACGTCAGATAGCAGCATCCCAGCCCCAAAACCCCCAACCCTCCACCCTCCTCCCGATTTCCTTGTCAACTGTTTTGGAGGCTAAATGTAGCTACGGACCATGGGAACCGGGGGGGCTAGGGGGCTTTTTCCCCCTTTTTTTTCCAAATATATACCTTTAATTAAATTTTTTTCCAAATATACACTTAGAATAGACATTGTTTAAAAGGTTTTAGCCCCCCCCCCCCCGATTTTGTAGGTTTTTTAGCCCCCCCCCCCCCGTTTTCCACAGACACGTCGCAGTATAGGTAAAAGATGGGGGAAAAGGTGGAGTTTGGAAAAAAAAAATTTTGGTAGTGAAGTTAGATCCTACCCCCCCCCCCCCCCCACCCCCCACGAAATAGGATTTTCGTGTTTGGGTAATTTCCCTTTTTTTTTTTTTTTTTGCTTGTCAGGTTTTTTGAGAAGGTATAAATTTTTTTTTTTTACACTTAGCCCCCCCCCCCCCACTTTCAAAATTTGCTTCACGCCAAATGGACTTAAAGTGGCCGAGTTGTGATTCTGGAGGTGTGATTCTGTGCATGAGTGCTGGGGGCAAAAACCTAGCCTCCCCCTTTCAAAAATTGCTGGATATCGATCCGCCCCTGGACTGTTAATGAAATTCACAAGACACCTTTGGATATCAAAGAAGAAAAATTCGAAGTTGAAGAAGGTAAATTCAAGTGTTTTTCGAAAATCAAGAAAAAAAAATACCCGTTGATCATTTGAAATATTCGAAAGCTGTCGTATTCACGAAAACGCTGTTACAGGGTCAATTACTCTTCATCTGTGGGTTCAAAACATTAAACCCTATATTACAATAGGTGGGATATTTTAATATATTTCTGTCTGGAATTCATGTCAAGAATTTGATTTCTAGTTACTGTGGATTGAATATTTGAAGAGATCCGTAAAATCATTTCGTAGTTCACTTAGGGATATATACGTACTGTAATTTATGTGAAAGACTTATTTCACTTGCAGAAATTTTGCATTTGTATATTACAACGCCAATTCATTCTGTAATTCAGATTCAATATACATGTAAATTAAAATGATGAAATCGCCTTGGTGTTCAATAATTTATTTATATACACGGCACAGTTTTGGCTGGCTCCGCCCATCGGTGTATCTCCAGTTATTGTACAGTTGACTTCAGAGGAAAAACACCGCAGCCATGATACAATTTTCGTATATTATATCGTGGAAGAGGATGTGATACCGTGATCACCTGTAAATGGATTCATGTCACGCAGAAGAACACATTAGCAACAAGATTGAAAACGATACAGGAAATTGACAAATAAGTTGATGATATAAGGGTATTAACATTCTGCAAATTCATGGTCTAAACAATGAATTTTTTTGCAATACAGGCATTTGGTAAATAAATGTACCACTCTTTTCCCCCTTTCTGTTTTAATAAATTGGGAGTCGAAATACGTTTTTATTTCTTTTTATTTTTTTTTTCTTATTTTATTAAATGTCATCGATAATTTAAACCTTTTGTATCATATATATAAGCTATTCCAAATCTGGATTTCGAGAAAAACAATTAAGAGCTTAGAAACAAGATGCATTCGCAAAACACTGATGCCTCCGTATGGCAGCATTCAGCGAATATAGCAAGGGTTGAAGTTTCTCAAATGCAAGTCAAACTCCAAGGTTAAGGTCAAGTAAAAATTGATCATATATCCCAAGGAGGGTCTTGTTCAAAGGAATACAACGAATATCACATACCTGCGAAGTATTAAAACTGTAGTACTAACCGTTCAAAAGTTATAGCCAAGGTTAAATTAATTTTTTTGAAAGTGTGTCAAACTCTAAGGTCAACATCAAAAGGTTAAAAATATTTATAACCATTGAAATTTTAAGGTCTTTCACAATGAATATACGTGTACATGGGAAGTACTAGTATGAACGACCTAGATAGCATTGACTGTTCAAAAGGTATATGGCCAAGGTTAAGGTTTGGAAATATTTGGTTTAGTGGGTCATGCTCCAAGGTCAAGATGTCAAATTTGGTGGTACCTTAAGATTGTGAAATAAGAAGCCAAAGCCCCGCCCACTTAAAAGTTAGTCCTATGGGCAAGGTTTAAGTTTATTCGACCATAGAGAATTACTGGAATACTTACACTCAACTTTTGAGTTTATTCAATAAAGGGAAGAAGAAGAAGAGACAAACAGCTAGGCAGACGGACAAGGTAAAACTATATAACCCCGTATATGCTTGTGGTTTGGATATAGATAAGTCTTATAGAATTGTCTTCGGGTTTTTTCCCTAATCGTTGAGGAGGAATTCATGCTACATTCCATTTTTTTTAACAACGAAATTCTGTGTAAAAATGAGTTGACGCCACCCTTCCCCCGACTGTTTCCCTGGCCTACACATTGCGGAGCACTATGGACAGATGCATTGGCGGATCATGACATCACACACTTTCAGAGGGGGGGTCTGAACAGTGTGCCAATTTATCCCCCCCTTTAATTTTTTGCCAAGTGGAGAGAGAGAGAGGGGGGGGAAACGTTTCAGAGAATAAATATTGATATGTCAAACTTATGTATTGAATAGATAAATTCTCAAACATCTAGTTTCCTCCATTCACCTTCACTTTTACTTTTTTTTATGAGAAAATGGTAGAAAAAATTGTATTTGTTTTTATATATCTTATATATGATATGTAACATCCGAGGTTTAATTTGATATTAGATTTCCCCGATCTTTAGCTGCATGTGTTGGCTATCTAAATGTATCGTTTTTTAAATTATATCTTTTGAAGGAACTAACATGTAACTCTTTATTTTAAAATAACTTACACCCCATCCCAAAAAAAGTCTTTAAAATTCTTTGTAATCTTCGGAAATGCTGCAAATCCATTCAATTTTTAGGCTTCAGTAGTTTTTGAAATGTGTTTCATTTTTTATTCGCAAAACTTTTTAAAAAGGACCTAAAACAAAGATATTATCTACCACAACCTTATCTTTCCATACGTGTGTATGAATCTTTGCTGGAAGTGTGTAGGGGGGGGGTTAAAGGGACACAAATGTGAAGTCTTTTTTTCAAAATTGGAAAACACCCCTAAGATTGAATGTTCCCCCCCTCCCCCCCCCACACACACACACCCTCACCACCACACACACACTTTCAGGAAAAAGAACCACTAATTCATTTCTTATCCCTCAAAACTGAACATTATTAAATATCAAAATATCTAGCCTAATGGTCTTGATAGTCGACCAAGTCGTGTAATATTTATTACTTAAAAAGTCGGGCTCGAAATTCAAAATATTTTGCATTTAGTGAAGTCAGTAGAAAAATATTTTAAAAAGTTAGCCAAGGCTAATAACAAATATTATTTCTTTTATTTACTTTTTTTTGCTAAAATTGAAATCAGGTGAGACATTTCTTTTATTATTTTGTTATATTAAAGGTATTCTTACAGATTTCAAATGATACATGAAATGATTTTGTCCTTAATTAGTCAAATCCTTTTTGGTTCTGTTTACGTCAGTTCCCAAGGACCGGCAAACTTAATATGTGCAGACTTCAACACAGACACGTCATTTGGAATTCTAGCCTGGATAAGGAGATGTCATTAGATTAGGGCAAATGGGGGCAGCGGCCAGCGCTCCTAGAAGAGGTTGTACATTAATTTTATAGTTTTTAACTTTAAAAAACTTTTATATCAGTGGCGGATCCAGAAGTTCATGTTGGGGGGGGGGGGGGGGGATTGAATCGCTATGTAGGCAAAAGGGGGATGGCATGTTTCATTCCCATAGGTGGGGGTTTTATTGAGAAAATTTTGTAAAACGGTTCTAAAATATATTTTCCAGATTTTGAGGGTACTTTTTGTAGCTTTTTTAAAGACCGGAAATCATCACAAATTTTTAATAAAATGTTTTCAATTTAATTTATTTAACACAAGACTTTAGAATCAACACATTTAAAATTTTTTGAAATGTTTAGGAATGAAGCAAGATGACTTCAAGTTGTCTTAAAACTTTTTGCACAATTAATTTAGTCCTATGTCAATGACTTCCAAGAAAAACTAATGTGCAAAATTTTTAAACACTAATAAAAATTGAATTCTTTTCAGAATCCCTAATGTGCTTTTCAACTTAACTTGGGTATATACTGTCAATATGATTTGGATTTATAAACACGGTGTACAATTCATGAAATTTCAAACTGTTTAACTGAAAAAAAATTTACATAAACTGGAGTTCATCTGTCAAAACTAGGGGGGGGTTGAAAACACGGTATGGCATGTAGGGGGTGTCCCCCCCCCCCCCCCCCCCCCCCGAATAATAGACAGTTTATTCATAGTTTAAAAACATGCATTTTATCAGCAAAAGAATATTACTGAGCAACACCGTAACTTTGCTGTTTACTGTTGTTGGTACCTGCATGATTACATTGTACTTTAGACTTTGTTTAAAAAATGTGACTTTTTTAGATGCACAGTTACTTTGTTGTCGAGGCACTCTCTCTGTTCCTATTACCTGTGTATTGTGTGCGTTCACTAAAAAGTGATTAAAAATGGATTCTATATTTCACAGTAGTTAGAATAATTAACTGTACTGTCAATATGCCCTCATTTTTAAACACACGTTACAATAAGATTTACTCGTAATGTAGCAAAAAATTGCAGACATCGCAACGAAACGATTTTGAAGGATACAAACTTTGCACAAAAATAACTTATAAATTAATCAAAACAAACCTTTTAGATTGCTTATTCCTTTTTTAAAAAAAATAATCCATATAAATACGTAAATCCAATTTTTTTTCAAAACGTTTTTCTCTCCATTCAAATGTTTACTGTTGTTGGAACTCTCTACATTGTTCACAGTAAATGCACTTGCGGGTTATTCTTTAGTGCTACATTACGAATACATCGGAACGAATCTCTCTGTTGAACCTGTTATATGTGTCACGGGTGAATTTCCTGTTAACGAGTGAACATTATATTTCACAGTTGTACAAACAAAGGGTTTATGTTTATTAGAATCTTATCATTGTTTTGAACATATTTTATTGAACGAGTCAAATGGATTGGAAACAAGTTCTTGCAACTTACTAGTTCCTCTCCATAAATATAACAATATGTCATGCAAATAATACATTAAAATATAATAATTATAATATTTTCAAGTGATGCAATTAAATTACAAATCAATTTAAAATCTACATGTTTCAGTAATAAATCTATGGACAGCAGCAAAAATATTAATATTAATTGATACAGGCAAATCTCTATCACCCCATATAAATAGTAGGTTAGTGTCAATTGTAACCAATTCTTCAAGCATGAACAGGTGGTTAAAAAGATTGTTTCTAGCATTTGCATACTTTGTACAAGCAAAAAAATAATGATAAACATCTTCATACTTTCCACAGGAACAAAGAGGACTGTTGATAATATTGCGTTTATATAGACCATAATTCAGTATTTAAACAGTTGTGTCTTAGTTTAGTATGAAGTATGTTTGTGTAGCGTTTATCAAAAGAAAAATATGTTGGCGGATTGATGATTTTTGTACAAGCTCTTAAGTTTTTACGGAAGGAATTAATTAACAAAATGATAAAATGACACTTGTAAAAAAAAAAAATCAATGAGCGGGGGGGGGGGGGGGGGGGGGGGGGGGGGTTCAGAACACCCCCCTGAATCCGCCCTTGTATATTAAAACAAGCATGACGGCTACAAGTGGGCTTATGGATTTTGAGCACATGAAAACTCCAAATAATAAAAACTTAGGTCTAATTATAAATTGCAAATCTGAAATATTGCAAAAAAGCCACAGTCCTAACGATTTTACTTTTGTAGATGGCATGAAGTATGAAATTTGGTCTTTATTTGCTACTCAGTATAAAATTTTCAGTTGTCTTCAGGTCTTGTAAAAATGGAAATTAAAATATTGATATCGTGAAGTAATATCTATTTCAGACAGATTTATTTAAATTAATAGGTGTTTATATAAGATATACGCAATATGGGGAGTTATCCAGGGAAACATGAGTTATTATGAGTATTGTCCTCACCCTTGACAATGCACTTGAGACACGGCAAAACACAACCATCACAATGGATATCAGTTTCACCTTAGTCTGTCTGACATTTCCTCTCCTGTTATATTTGGCAGTCAACACAAAAATCCACGGATGGTTACGTAAGTATAGTCCACCGAGGTTTAATTTCAGGATGGAAAACATCAAGAAAAAGGGAGGGGTAGGGTGAGAAGAGCCAGATAGCTCAGTGATAGATCACCAATGTGGTGGCATAAGATCCTGGGTTCAAGTCCCTGTCTAGCCGACATAGTTCCCTGTCCATTACAGCTGAAATAGAATCAAAATTGTGTAAAAGCCTTGTGAACATGTAGTAGTGTAAGATACATGGCATCCTACTAGCTTGGGCTAGTGGGTTAACCTTTCAGCTCAGGTAGAGCACTGGACTGGCAAGCCAGAGGTCCCGGGTTTGACCCCAGCTGAGGCGCAAAATTGTCTCCGTTACATTTTGCGCCCACATTGGGACTCATGCAGGTGTTCTCTGGTGGGTGAGAGTGATTGTCCATAAAACTTCGCCCTACAGGTATCAGCACTCCAAAAGAGATGAGGACATCTCATTCTCTGGAGGGGGACAATGTAGTAGTGTAAGATACATGGCATCTTACATTGGGCTAAAACCCTTTAGCTCAATTGGTAGAGCACTGGACTGGCAAGCCAGAGGTCCCGGGTCTTCGATCCCTAGCAGTGGCACAAAATTGTCTCTGATACAAACACATGAAAACTTTTTTGGTTTTAGAAAATTATATTTAATATCAGTTCATGGGGATTTAATTTAGTTGATGAGTGGAACATGCATATATAAAAAAATTTTACATTTCAGTTTGGACATAAAATTTGTGGGTATCTTGTAACTTCGAAAAGACCTAGCAGTGTTGTCCCTAAAACTGGGCCAGTGGGGGCTGGGGAATTTCCCACACTTATACTGTAATTTCTGTTAAGATCATGGAGATGTCGATGTAATTCATGGGTTAAAATACTCTCACTGGAAAATTGTGATTGAACAGTAATTTTGACCGGTTACTGTAAAAAGCTTCCCGCTAGGACACGGCCCAGGGTCTCCAGAAACCCATGCTTTAGCATTCTGTGCTCCTATATAAAGTATTAAGGAAAGGTGCCTAAGTGGTCGAGGCACGGACACGGCACGGGATATTGGCCGAATATTTAAATTGACATGCACTTTTCCAAAACCCAGCAGAAACACAACCTAGTTTCCATATATGGACTCACGGATTCTGTAAACCCGTGTCTGAAACCCGTGTCCTTTTCCATATATGGAAAAACGGTTTTTTGGAAACCTGTGTCAAAAAAGCCGTGCCGTATACCATATAAGGAGTCACGGGATCTGTGCATTTGTTTACATCTAGGTCATGGCTTTTAGAGAATCTCCTGATGTAACTGTGGATGCCAAAATGGTGACTGAAACCCAATTAACTTCACGTTGCTTTACATTAATGCTTAGTTTTAGAATTTCAAAAGTTAAAAATCTTATATGAATGTGTTTACATGATTAACTTTATCAGTTACAATCTGCTAGTTTTTAATTGAGATTTTAATGAAAATTAATTGTAATTTAATCTATAGCAAGTTTGCACAATCTGAGGAATTTAGTTTAATTAAAACTTTCACCTGAGCACAGTGATGTCACATAAAATATACTATAAACTAGAGGTACTGTGAGCGATGAGCATATATATGTTTTCCTGTGGCCGGAAACCCAAAATTGTGTCGACATAGGAGGTGCACAATGGCAATATGTGGATTCTGTGAAAGTTTCATAAAATTTCATTCAGTGGTATGAGAGGAGTTGCGGATAAGAGATGGGTACCCCAAAGCGTAACAGACTGGACGGACGGACGGACAAAGAAGGACTAGCAAGGACGGAATTAACGATTAGTATATACCCTCCCGCTTTTCAAGCGGGGGGTATAAGATGGGTACCCCAAAGCGTAACAGACGGACGGACGGACAGACAGACGGAAGGACGTACAGACGGACGGACGGAATTAACGATTACTATATACCCTCCCGCTTTTCAAGCGGGGGGTATAATGATTAGTGAAAGTCCAACTAAAGTCATTCAAATAAACCTAAACTATTTCATCGTGTTCATTGTCAACATTGCAATACAGAAAGATCATGAAAATTGAAAAATTGACATTTATTCTATATTACACTTACTGCATTTAGTTCAAAAGTGAAGAAATGCCCATACATATATACAACTCCAACTGACATCTATTAGTTAAATAATTCCTTTAAATAGAGCAAAAAGACACATTGACTTAGCTCATGACCATGAATCCCTCCAATTTAATATTCAAATAAAGGAAGTTATGATTGAGCATGCTCAGTAAAAAGCTGGAGATATAAATAAATAGTTTGAAGCAAAACCCGCCTGAGTTAAAAACCGTCTCCCTGGGATTCCGACCTCCACACAGGTTTCTGTGAATTAACTTTCAGACACGGAAGCCGTGTCCGTGTCTTGGACATGCAGAACCCGTGCGTCTTTTTAAAAACCCGTGCGGATTCCGTGTCTTAGCCGTGCCCAAGCCATGCCTATTCCGCCTCGAACTTTCGTACGGGTTATGTTGAGCTGTACAACATTAAAATAGTGTTTCCCAATGGTCGGTATTGAAAATTAGCATGATTTATTTCTTTCAGGCAGATAAATTTAATTATATCATAACAACTACGCTGCATTATGGGTTGTAACGCTGGAAAAGGTGAGTTATTTTCTCGTAGTAGTCTGTTCACCCTTTCAGAACAAGTAACTATTACACCTACCTTTATTTCTGGCTGAATCAATGATCTGTAGACAAATATGGAATCTTTATTCACTCATGTCTGTTTTAATTGTTTCTGTCTGTCTCATTCTGTCAACTCCTTTTATCTGAATAACATCACCAAATGTACTGTAACAGTAGCAGGTTTAAGGGAGAAAATGCTATGGATTCAAGTGGGACCCTTCTCTACACATAGAAAATAAATTCTGTAGCAGTATAAACTGAAGTATCAGCTGAGAGTGGCATGGTGAAAATCTTTGTGCAAATCTGCCTGACTGGCAAAAGGGAAAATAGAACTAAAAAACAACCATGTAGTCAATGGACTCTATAAAAACTAAATGCAGAATGCATAGAAACACCCCCCACCTCCCAATCTCCCGCAGTTATGGCAGTCTTCTCACTCTTCTGTATAGTGCACTTAGACTAATATGCACATAGACTTTTCCTGGATCCTCTCCAAAGTTAGCTTAGTGGTGTTTATGAAACACTGATTATGCTGATGCCCCCTATAAAGTTTCTCAAATGCAAATCAAACTCCAATGTCAAGGTTAAAAGGTAAAAACTGTTGGTATCAAGAGGAAATATAAGCCTTTTCTGAGGAATAAACCTGTGAACTATGAAAGACTTAGTACTCACTGTACAAAAGTTATGGTTGAACCTTGGTAATTTTTGTAGAAGTGGGTTCAAACTCCCAAGAATTAGATGAAGGTCAAGAGGTCAAATTAATGATATCCAAAAGATTTGGGTCTTGTCATAAGGAAATGAAGGAATACACCTGTGAAATATGAAAGCCATAGCCACACCCAGTCAAAAGTTATGGGCAAGATTAAAGTTTTTTGGACAAACAGATAAACAGGTAGCTAGACAAACGGACAGGACATTAACTACATGTATACACCTGAATCTTCATGGGGACACAACAAGTGTCTCCAATTTTATTTAGATACAAATATGAATGCAATATAAACAAATCTGGAAAATAATTTTTAAAAATTAATTTTAAATAAAATGATATAATTATAAAATAATAACACATAAAAATCAAGACTTTTAATGCTTATCACATATATGATATATTTATTTAATAATTGATTTGCATTTCAGTTCAGGCAAAGCCTTCAAATGGTCTTATATTAAAAGAGGGAGAACTATTGTACTGTGAAACTCAAGGTATGACTGACATTCTAAATGTAATTAATTTGTGCTATTTATTAGTAATACACTTATACATAAAGTGTAGCCACAGTACCCATGGAACTGGGTTGGGGGTGGGGGTGAGGGGGGTGAGGTTAAATTCATAGGTTATCAACATTTTACTGAACTTCATATAGACTTAATTTTGTATATTTGTATAACTCTTACAATATACAGAGGATTCAGTGATTGAATAAGCAATCACATATAAAGGTAAAGTCATGTGATGGAGATACACAAAATCCATGAACAATCCCCCCCCCTTCCTTCTGAAAAAAAGATGATTCCACAGTGATTATGCAGATACCGTATAAGTAGAATTTTTAGGGAGGATTTAATTTTGGCATTATTAGCGAGGGTGTCAAGATCGCTAAAATTGAATATCTCTAAAATTTAATTGCGTTTTATTTGTAATAGCTTCTTTAATATGTGATTAATGTATTTAGATATCTATTTACCCTTCAGAAAGCCCACTGGATATGATTTCCATCAGGCCAATACATGCCTTGTCTATTGTGCTGTAGATATATTTGCTTTTTCTTCTGAGCTTTAGGTCTTATATGTAATAATACAAATTTTCACAATTTTAGGTGACGACTGGAAGAGTTATCTATTTGAACTGTACGAGAATAGTACATTTGTTTGGTCTAACAATGAACGTCCTACGAAACAGGATGGTTCAGTGAAATTAAAGGTAAATTCTGTCAGTGGTTCTTTTTCTTTTCCTTTTTTTTTCCAAGATATATTTCTTTAAAATATAGGACCATGGCAGAGTATCAGGGTTATTACTGCCCTACACCATTTGCCTAAATCAATGAATTAAATACACTGCTAATTGTAAAACATTTACAGTACCATATAATCCCTATTATCCGCTCCAGGCGCTTAGAAAATTGCGAAAAGGGGGCGGTTATTTTGGTATTCTCTTTATAATATTTAATGTCATTTTTTAACTTCCAAAAATCTTTGGAAAAAAAAAAATTCAAATAACCACTAAAACAATGTCTAACTTTACTTTAAGTGAAGATAATACACGGGAATTATGCTAAATGATTCATTTTCCACCGAGAAATTGGATAATAGACAAGTTTCATTTTCACCTTCTTCAAATTTTGGCAGATTTTTGATACGATTCTAGATGATTTTATCACTGTACAAGGGGGCCTTATTTTCTGATAATTGAAAAAAGACCTAGGAGGCGCTTATAGGGGCAGGGGCAGTAAATGGGGATTTTACTTTATTATGAGGTCTATAATTTTCTCTCTTATTTCTCAGTCAGTAGTTGACCAGATATGCGTGGGAAAGGACTGTGAGGGGGTACCTGACTGCCCTAAGCCTCCGGTGGGGAGGACCGTTAACTACATGATCTCCTTCCCTCATAACTACCCCCCGGGGACTAGACCCACTGACATGAAGAATAACTGGATTGTATTCAGGGATGATAGAGAAATGAGGTACTGTATGATTTTATATTAGAGTATTCGCTCTGTCAAGTCTGTTTTCTTTTTTTTTTGTTTATGTTTTAAAACCATTGGGAATAAAATACCCTTTGCTGTGAACATGAATTCAAAGTGAGATTGTAAAGGGGTGTCGTTACTCTTTTAGTCAGATTCATCATTTAATTATTTCATAAGTAAGATATGATATATATTTTTTTGTTGTTAATTAGTATGTATAGTTAATTTATACACAACTGTATAGATTTTGTTAGGAACTCAGAGATCCATTTTTTTTCTCCCATTTTTTCAGGGAGTGGATTGCAGCATTGGAAGATGTGGTAAGTGCATGTCTGTGCTCTGTTGTCTCAAAAAGCAATCCTTTTAGGGGGGGGGGGGGTTGTCAACAAATTAATCATCAGATATAACTTAATATTTAAGTAATGATATCTGTAGCTATCAACAATCAGTTGGCAAAGAAAAATTTCCTACATTTTAGTCATAAAATTTCTTCACTTGTTGGTACCACTAGTATGACTATTTCCTATATGTCAAAATATGGATAAATCCCTCTTTTAGTAGGAGACCAACAATTTTCTCATTTGACCTTGAACTTTGGCCTACTTTTGACAAAATTTTAACCTTGGTCATAAATTATGTCTTTGTTTCTTCAAAATTTAGTTGAATGTTAAACCATTAGGTGTCCAGTCAAAATCAAAACCAAAACCAAAAAAGAAGAAGGCCCCACCCCAAGGAGTTATGCATGCATCACAGTTAGCACCACTCGAAATTGAACCAGACCCGCAAGAAGGCCTCCCCAAGGATCCAGAAAAAAAGGACGACACTAAAGAAGAAGAAATCCAACACACTGATTTCGATTTACTTCTGGCAGAAGGGCAAGCTATGTCTAGGTATTCGGAAGACAATATGCCACACTTTGGCCAGGCTTAAAGTAGAACATAGATAGGAGAAGAAACTAGCTATATATGTAAGGTTCTGAAGTCAGTTTTGCAAATTGCTGAATGGATTGAGTTTTTAGTGGCAAATAAGGTGCATGTGCTCTATAAACTGCAAAAAGGTTCAAAACATTGCAACTCTGATGGTATGACAAAATCTTGTACTTATTTGGGGGGGGGGGGGGGTTACGGAGGGGATATACATGGAGTTATGTATGGCTAATCATCTTGTTCTGTGGGATGGTATAGTACCTGTACTCTATAATGCTAAACCATTAGGGGAAAAGTGGATGTCAATTCTAGTATGGTTTGTATTTCTCATCCTTTGATTAGAGTAAGTGTTGAAGGGGTGAGGTTGGAGATATAATTACATAGGATAAAGTAAAGATATTGGAAGTGGAAATGTCTAGAAGGGAATGATATACTAGTCATCAGTTGAGAGTAGATGGGTATGGGGGTGGGGTTAATTGGATATCAATCTTACAGGATTTGTTAATCCCCTATTTAAACAACAAACAAGACTATAGCATATTTGAATCAATTTTGTTTAGATATTGAAATTCATTACAACAAGCTAAAAAAATATAGCAATGTTTATTTAAATGTAAAAAATTAAAAATATATGTAAAATGTTTTCATTTGTATGATGTCAAAATCATTTCCTGTGACTTTTGGTGTATCTCAATACATACATGTACATGTAATGTACAATGAATGTGATCATCAAAGGTAATAGAACACAAATTTTGATTTTTACAGAGAATTGATATTAAATAATTATAAGTTAATAACTAGGGGGTATTTTTTTTTTGGTAGTGTTAGAAAATTTTTATGCATCTAAAATTACAAAGATTGTGAAGTTTAAAATGCTCATAACAGAAATTTAATAAAAGGGATCCATTAAAACAGATTTCACTGTATGTACCTGTGTGTCCTTGTATTTAAAAAAGGTATTTTATTTTCTACCATTATATTTATATTGGTTTATTGTTGCATAATGTAGTACAGTAAAACTTGCTTACCAGGATATCACTGACACCTCAATTTTCACTTCTATCAGATATTGTTAGAAATCTCATTCTGGATTCCTTAAAAAAACGATTTTAGAGACTTTTCATTATAAGAGAGTTCTTTATAACAAAGTTGTACTGTACAAATGTATATTTTGTTATTGCTGATATACATATTTATAGATTATCTATTTTTTAAATCTTCTTTTATATATATTTACACAAGTGTAACTGGTAATTATATCAGACTTTATCAAATAGAATCCGTCCTTTCTACATGTTTTAATGTCTTGAAGAAATTTTTTGCTTCACTTTATGTAATTCACTGTTTTATGAGATTTATATTAGTTATATAATAATTTTTTATGAACTTTTTAAAGCATTTATTTGTAGAATTTATTCATTCAGTCATTAAATTTCAATGAATCATGCTGGTTTTTTTCCTGACTACTGTTCTTAAAGTTCATTTGAGCTTTTGTTATGGTTTGCTGTGCTTTCCCATGCTACATGAATCATGCATGAATACTGCATGAATGAAAAAAAGCAATCTCTATTTATATTTATTTAAATTTCTAGCAAAAAAATCAGATCTTCAAACTGTGTTAAGCATGCTCAAGCAAGTAAAGATAATTTAGGAAATGTGAAAAAGTAAAAGTTTCTATAAATAAATCTAACCATGATAAAAAAAAATCAGTAATGAATTTAGGCGGAGATTTATAAAGATTTCTTTAAAAGAATATCGTTTTATTTTACACTAAGATGTAAGGCAAGGGTTGATAAATTTATAAATACCAGTTTTAAGGGGCAGGAAGGGGTGTCATGTATACCAAACAAGAGAATAACCTTTTATTTTGTAAAATTGGAAGACAAGAAATGTATAGTCTAGATCTATCGTCTTGTTAGTAGGACGAATGATACCACATTTACTTTTCTAAGAACCTAAGTCTTTTCACTTTTCTTGTCTCTAATTCCGCCACCCATATAGAGTCCACGCCGTCAAAACATGAACCATGTGGCTCTAGAATTCCCGCCACTTCTGTCAGAAGCAGACGAACAAAGGCGCCATCTTTGTCAATCACGTGCACACTGTGTCTAAACTACTATAATACCTCTCTAAACTGGTCCGCAATAATTCTGTCGTGCTATATATACTTATGATCCTTTCCTGACGATCAGGAGCACATTAAAAATCCTTAACATATACAGATAAGATTTATAGCATAAGTGTAGATAATGTGCGAACAATTAATTAATGAAGAATGATATTAAAGATAATTAAGATATTCTAAATCGTTGCAGTTGCTACAAATCCTTTAGCTGCAGAACTGTAGCTTTCTGCTTGATAAAATTCGGACAGATAAAGCAGAGAGCTACAGATCCAAATTAAGCGTTGTAAAAACCTTCGATTTAGGCCGACGATTTTTTGTCCTTTTGAATCAAGTCTGCCTAGTCTGGTATATGTAGACTAGTATACATATTCATTGATGCACCATCAAAGAAGAAGTTTCGTCCAGGTATAAGGCTTATTGAATATTATTTGAGAATAGACCTGCATGGCTCCGGGGCCATAAAACTTAGTCAGCTCACTTTTGAGATCAATCTAAAAATCTCAGATTCTGGTCTTAACTTAGACCGTCTCACCTATTTTTACCTACTTTTTATATTTTCTGCATTTTGCAGCCAAAAGACCAAACGGCGCAAAATGGTGAATACCATATTTTTTGATACGGTCACACTAATGATGAATACAACAAAATTTTGGCCAAAAATGATTACTTCCTGAATCGGCAATTTTACATTAATTTCTATGCAAAATTGATAATATACGGAGTAATCATTTTTTGGCCAAATTTTTGTCATATCCATCATCAGTGTGACTGTATCAAGAAATTTTATGCTCACCATGTTTCGCCGTTCCTGCATTTGGCCACAAAATGCAAGTAAAGCAGAAAGTAGGTAAAAATAGCTACTTTGGGTAGCTTTAAATACCTAGGTAGCTATTAATAGCTACGTAGGTAGAAATAGTCTTTGGACTGGACCTGTCTAACTGGTAAGAAATGATTTTGTTTTATTTTTTTATCAAAAAAATATTTCTTAAAAGCAGATGTTTCAGTAACTGGTGTAACTGCTAAATCTAAATCTATTTATTATGAATTTTAGTGCAAATATACATATGTGATATTAAAATGAGGAATACTCAAATCAGTTAAATGTTTTCAATTGAATTAGTAACTGTAATCACGGTAATATTTAATTAAAAATTATATGTAAAGTTCTTAATGTTCTGTTCATATAAAAAAAAAACTATAATGCACTTTAATTAAAAAAAATAGTATGAAAACTTTGTCTAGGAACATAAAGAGAGCCTATCAAAACTTCACAGGATTGCATCATTTCAGAAACGTGGCGAATTTTCTCTATAATTAACAGATTTAGGTCATGATAAAAGCTTTCTGCGAACTTGATGCTTGTACGCGTATGCGGGAATGTGCCAAAACCATAAGGAAATTGTTTGCTGCAAGTTAGCAGCATTGTACGTGCTTGCTGCAAGTTTGCAGCACTGTACGTGCTTGCTGCAAGTTTGCAGCAAATCCAGTGTTTGCTGTACTGCAGCAATTTAAACCTCATTTGCATGGTAAAATGTTTGCTGCAAGCTTAATTCAGTTGCTGCAGACTTACCGCTAATTTGCTGCAAACACCAAGGCTTTGTATAGACTGTCATGCTTTCTTTAGCTCCATTGCCGCAAGCATGCAGCAATGTCTGCTGCAAGTTTGCAGCAAATATTTGCAGGAAGGCAACATTTTCGGTAACCCCCCAGCACGGTAACGGGATGTTTCGCGCCGATGCATGGTTCGCACCGCGATGTTTCGCGCCTATTCTGTTTCGCGCTGAGATGGTTCGCCCCTCGATGTTTCGCTCCCAGAACATGAAATGTATGCTATTTATTTCGTTCGTTTTGAAAAAATAAATAAATAAAAATTTATCATGTCTGTTAATATTGATGTAAGTATCGAAATTTTGTAGAATATTTATTAATATTTTGATTGTAGAAGTTTATTTGAAGTACTTAGTCTAATTGTTTATTATTTTTACACTGATAATTATGTTCATAGTAGTTACTTTAGCATACCGCCATCTAATTAATTCCGTAATTATTGCCGGCTTGGGGAACCTATATCAACTTATTATTTGCTGGCTTGGAGAAATACAACATTTTCTGTATAATATCATGAATTACATATTGTAAAAGTATTTCAAATAAAAATAAATAAAAAAATCTTATTACATGTAAAATTCATTGAAACTTCAATTCTGAATATTTAAGAATATATTAACTTCAGATCTGTGTCTATGCACCTGTTAAAAAAGTTGGTGATCTAGATTGTATAAATCAAATGTCCCTTTTGCATACGCATAAATGCTGAAAACTTTTAATTCTTTCAAATTTTATTTCAGCATTTCAATATTAAAATATTTAATTGATTTGTTTAAATGAAAACAATTAGGTTTTTGAATGAAAATTGATTTCTGACTCCTGTGAACATTAAATTATTGGTAAAATAAATAAAATGTATACAGTAAGGGGGTTGTCATCTTTTTTTGGAACATAATATTGATTAATAATACTGATTGTAAAATTGATAAAATCATATTCATGTATCATGTAAAATCAGAAAAAAAAACAATTGGCCATTTATAAAGCCAAGTTTATCGACTAAGAAAATATGTTTAGCTCATTAAATTTTAAGTTCAAGTTCAAGTTCATTTATTCACTCAACACCATTTTAATACATGGTACATGAGGGCAAAGAGAAATATTTACAACATATATATATAATCAGGTCAGAGGTATATAAGTATAAGATATACAAAATCAAGAAATGAAAAGGGAGAAAAGAAAGAAAAAAAAAATATGAAAAAATCACATGTGATACATATAATAATAAAATGAATGAGGGGAACAAATCATGGAGGACAGACTAAGTCATATATTTTTAATATAAACATACAGAGTTTTTTAAGTGACGTTGCATCTTGTTTTGTCATCAGTTGGGAAAATTTAAGAATATTTGGTCTTGTAAAATAGTATTCATTAATATATTTCTTTCTTATATTTGACAGTGCAGAACATTCAAGTATAAAATGGAATTCATCAGCAACATGTTTATCATTACAAAATGTACATAATCTTTCGTTTAATGGTGTGCATGCCCATCTTCCCAGCTCAACTGGTAGACGGTGATTAGTAGTACGGAATTTGACAAGTATTTTTCTGAATTTTAACGGCAAAAAACTTAAATAATTTTCGCCCTCAAATTTTGTTTTAAAAGCTTTATACAAAATACCTTTAGAGGAACTATTAATATCAGAATGCCATTTTTGTATAAATTGGTCCTGTAATCTTTGTTTAACAACAGAAGTAACCCAATCTTGACTAATATTATGATAAAACTGTTCATTCCAAATATGAGATAGTCCACATGAATCAAAAATATGATGAACACAGTCAATCCAAGGATTTTTACCAATTTCAGATTGTGAATTAGCAATTAAATATTGATATAATATACATGAAATTTTCTTCTCTGTGCAATTCAATAATTTACACCAGTACGATACTATTCTTGGATATATAATAACAGATAGAGGAAAACGTCCTGTTTCACCATAAACCATATAATTCGGAGTACTACTTTTCAAATACAGAATATGTTTTAAAAATTTTAAGTGTACACGTTCAATAACATCTAAATTTTCAAAACCCCAGATTTCACAACCATACAGTAACACTGGTAAAACCATTTTATCAAACAAATCGAATTGACATTCTATAGGGAGGTTAAATTGTCTTATTTTCCTGATTACACCGTACATTGCTTTTGTTCAGATAAAAAAACTTGCTGCTGCACTGTATAGCTTATGAATAAACTCGGAATCATTTTTAAGAGAAAAAAAATCTACTCATGACAATCTAGTTGAGTACCGTATAATCCTTATTAACCGCCCCTACCCCCTATAAGCGCCCCCTTACATCTTTTTCAACCATCAGGAAATAAGGGCCCCCTGTACAGTGATTAAAATCAACAAGAATCTTATCAAAAAATTGAAGAAAGTGAAAATGAAACCTGTCCATTATCCAATTTCTAAGTAGGAAAATGAATAATTAGCATAGATTGGATGGATTATCTTCACTTTAAGTAAAGCAGGGATTTTCCACTCGTTTTTGGGAATGGGGCCCAGGCCCTTGGAATTGGGAATTTTACGACATTTTATTACTTATTGGGAAATTTTATTGTATGATGTTTTTCAAGAAATAAATACTTAAGATGAATGAAAATT